ACTAGAGCTCTCGTATGTCCATGAACATGTGTCTATTAATTTGATATTTTGTATTTGCGTAGAAAATGTCTTCTTCCATAATTTGATTATAGTTGTTTGATATCAAAGATGATGATAAGAAATACTAAATGGCAGTAATATTATAGTAAAATTGATTTAAAACAAATATATATTTGGGTAAAAATTTGTTTAACGAAATAAACTGCAAAAAGTCTTAAATAAGTAAAACAGTAACATGGAAGACGACATTGAAACTATTCACCAACAGTCATGTTTCGTGGGACACCCTGTATGTAGATATTTACAGAACATTTGAACTCAATTAGCCGAAAATTAATTTCAGGAAAATAGCATCCAAAAATCCCTTTTGATGAAAATGCTTTAAAAACAAAAGATAAATATTTATTTTTCCAAAAATCAAGTTAGCTATAGAAAACCATACATCTGCATTCTGGGGGTTCAAAGAAATTCTATCTTAACAATTTGTGTCAATATTTTTTCTGAAGCTTTTAGATCCCTTGGATAGTTAATAAAAATTATTAACTTATTAAATTATAAGTTTCTCTGTTCTCAGTAACATTGTTAGAAATAATTTTAAACCTAATTAACATATTCACATACAAAAAAAGCCGCCACCTACGGACCTAATTCAATGCAAACAATTTTAAATTTTGAAGAAGCAAAAAGTTAACAACTATATAGTCTTAAATGAATCAGTGGTATTATAATTACTATATCTTTAACATCAGTTGAGAACGGGGAATAATGAAACAATTTTTAGGTGGTTGTGAATTGCAAGTTAATGCAACACTTTAAAATTTAACCCCTTCCCTCCCTCTTTATAAATCTATTATAACTATTTGTGGATTAATGTGCAGTAGCAGCAGCAGCGATCCCCAAAATAATATGGAAGAATTGAGGACAATTAATACTACACATATTGTTCAATGCACGTATGTTACTGTGCAAACCATATATCCAAATTTTTCTGGTGACCACTGCATACAATTTACATTACAATTTATTTTAAGATATATATATGGTTAAATATCTGCTATACAAATAATTGATAATATAAAATGTAAGAATTAGAGGGCCATGTTTATGAAAAGTAAAATTGTATGATATTGTTAGTGCATGCATGCCTTAAAAAAGTGTAGGAATTGCATACATACACCAAAAGTTCTCTTCTTCCCCCCCCCCCCCCCCCCCATCACATGAAATGAAACTCCAGGTGATATGCCACCCAAAACTATTTCATTCCTAGTTTATTCCTTTAACTTGAATATATCATAATAGATAGATTTTACAAATTAAAGAAATATTTGTCTAAGAAATTCATCTGCCAGCTAGTATAGTGCTGCATGACAATTTATATTGTATCAAATGTAGATTGCATTGCAAAACACATTTTTTTGTGTACATGAATTGTTTACAAAATTTCTCATATACACGTTTGGAAGAAAGTTACAACAGCCTGATCCTGGCTGTAGGGGCAAAAACAGGTTTAAGAGTACAGTTTATTGGTGTGTTTGAGTTGCGGTAGTGTAGGGATGGCGGGCCAGCCAAACTTCCCCCGCTATCTGTATTCTTATTGGTTAAAACTCCTAGCAATTTCCAGGCTTACCCCGCTTTACTGAGTCCCGCCTCTCTCTCTCAAACTGAGTCCCCCGGTCGCGGTTTCCGCTTAACAATGTCACGCGAGAGCATAAAAGTCGCGGTCCCGGTCGCGACGGATCAGCTGAGAGACGCGTGAACTCGGTCTATGCGGTGAGCCTGCTCCATCGTGACGTCATCGTGATTTTGCCGGCAAGTCACGTGACTGACCACTCACACAGCTCTACTCCTCAGACTCAGATACACAGTACACACTTTAAAATGCGGAACTGTTTCCGATACTCTATTACTACCTTAATAATTTAAACAGTGTATTAAAGTAATATTCGTATATACTAGTTTAACTATTGTGAGAAATTACAAACCATTATATGACGGTTAATCAATTGAACAAGCTTGGACTGCAGAATCATTAATATTCGTGAAACGACGACAGAAAATATGCATATCGATGCCGACATTTTAACAATTTTAACTGTCCTTATTATTATAATCTTTGTTTCTTAAATTTTATTTCGTTTATTTTTAAAGAAATACTGTATTTTAGTCTATATTATTTAGGAATCCGAATTGTTCTTATTTTCAGACTTTAACATAGAAGAGTGTAGAAGAATTGTTAATATTTTACCCCTGTAAAATGGGGGACTTCAAAAAGAAGTCTGTATCTCTTGAGACAGAGTTTGTTCTAGGTATGTGCAAGTGATTTTATCAACTTTTTACGTAATTTTAGTCGGAACTTAAAATGTTTCTTTAACATTTTTTTGGTACATAATATTCCCGGGGTGTATCATTTTCATTTTAAAAGCTTTTTTTTTGCTACAATTGTGAAAACGAGAAAGAAAATAAATTATTAAGTGAAGTGTAGGGTCTGTCCTAGTGAACGATTTTTGGACCCCCCCTCCAGCCCCCCCCCCTCCTATCATTTTTGTACATGCCCATGAATTAGTATTTATTTAGCATTATTTAGGGTTAGGTTAGGTTAAGACACTTTCTGGGCCGAGCGCTGCGGCTAGGATGGGCTAGGGGGCCGAGCGCTGCGGCCACAGGTTAGGTTAGTTAAGACACTTTCTGGGCCGAGCGCTGCGGCCACGGGTTAGGTTAAGTAGAGACACTTTCTGTGAGATCCATGTACAAAAACGATAGGAGGGGGGGGGGGTCCAAAAATCGTTCACTAGGAAATTACCTAAGGTCAAATAGAACGGATTTAACTTGCCATTTGTTGTTCAATGGGTAATTTCCTAGAGAATTATTTTTGGACCCCCCCTCCTATTAATTTTGTACATGGTTATCATGTGTATCATTGTGTATCATTGATCATGTGGCTGCAACGCCCGGCCCCTAGCCTGTCCTAGCCTCAGTGCTCGGCCCTGGCCTGTCCTTGCTGCAGCGCTCGGCCCAGAAATTGTCTTATCTAACCTAACCCTAAAATAATTTTGCTGAAAAACAAGTGATCATGTTCCAAATTGATAGGAGGGGGGCCCCGGGGGGGGGAGGGGTCCAAAACTCGTTCTTCTTCCAATTTTCATGTTTTCCCCCAAAATCTTTCAGAAATTCTAAACAAAACACCCCTGAATAATCTCGTACTGAATCACTCAAAATTGAACATTATAGCTTAATCTTATCATTGTGCTCTACATTGATGATATTGTACCTGTATGTTGTGTAGAACCGGGTAAGGAAGAAGCTGCCTGTGTGGATCTAGACGGAGAATGGGCAGAAAACTCTAAGGTACCTAAGGCGGGGGGGGGGGGGGGTCATGAACCACCAAAGCCTTACCTCTGTTTACTCCCCCTGACTTTCCAATCCTTAATTTTGAATTTTTTCCCCCATTTGGACGGAAATATAGCGATATACTATTTAATTCTTTAAGGAACAAATATCTGATTCTACAATTAATAATGATAATCAACAAAAAAGCATGATTTGAAAATTTTCATCTTCAAACAATGATGAGATATCATACATTCTATATATCTTAATGCCCCCCCCCCCCCGAAGCTCCTAGGGGGGGGGGGGGGGGCAAAAAAAGTGCTCCCCTCCCTGGCCCCCCCCCCCTGGATTTATTTCCGAGAAGCTCTGAACAAGATCAACACTAATTAAAAATCAAATTTACTTAAAATTCTTAAATGGAACAGTAATGAAGAGTTCTGTTTGGTCGTTTCCTTCCTTATGAGATTTGTTTTATTCACATCCGACAGAGTATTTCTTCAACATATTTTAGATTAATAAAATAAATAAAAATTGTTCTACATTTCTGTTCTATGATTTTTATGCCAGACTTGAAGGACCATTTTTTGGACTTTTAGACTCTCATTTATCTCATTATGAATGCTTGAGATTTGTGTTTTAAGAGTAAATATTTTTATTAGTTTGCTTTGGTTGATATTTATCCTTTTGGATGTGGATCCATGGGCCCGCATGTTTTTGCGGATTTGGATCCAGGAAGCCATTATTTCAAGATCTTTTATTTAGGTTTTTCGGCATCCTGATTTTGTAAACCCAAATATTGAGTTTGTTGGAGGAGAGGTGGGGGAGGGTGGAGATCATATGAATATTACACTTAAGAATATCGGAGACACAGAGGTTAGTCAAACATTTTCATTCAACAAAATTTAATGAAAAACTTTTTAATGCAAATCCCGACAATTAATGACAACCTTTATTTCAGATCAAAATCTCAGGGACTCAAAACGTCGTGCTCGTAAGTGAAGATCCAAATGAACCGGACCCGGGTTTGGAGAAACAAAATAACCCGGATCTGGGTTTGGAGAAATCACCTGGTCCCGGTTTAAATACAGTGGAGCAGTCAAACCCGGAGCCCTCCTCGGATCAAGAAAGTCTAGTCGAGAAAACTGATGAATCTGATGAAAAAGAGTCGGTTGGTCAAGTGAAAAATTCGATTTATATAGATTCAGTTGATTCTAATGATCAAATTAAAGGATCAAGTGAACAGAGTAAGGATTCTGGAGATCAAATTAAAGAATCAAGGGATCAACAGAAGGAATCAAATGATCAAGTAAAAGACTCGGAGAAAGTTGAGGATTCAGAAGAAAATGTAGCCAACATGGATGTTTCCTCGACGGTGGATGAAACGGCAGATGAATCCATGGATATTGATGAACCTGAAGCTGCCTCTAAAAATCAAACTGGTGATGAATGTGAAAATATTGACAAAGATAAAGATACTTCAGTAAGTGATCTTAAAACTGCAGATCCTAAGGAAAAGAGTAAAAGTGTCAATGGCGATCCTGTTGATAAAGAGGAAAAATCGGAAAAGAATGATTCAAACGTAAGTGGAGCAAGCAAAGAAGCTGAAAATGGGAGCATACCTGAGAAAGAAGCCGAGACAGTTGACACTCAAAGCGAAGAAATTGACATGGAAAGCAAAAAGAAAGAATCATCAAAGGAAACCGAAAAGGAGAAAGAAGACGATAATGTGGAAGAAAAGAAAGAAAAATCTTCAGATAAAAATGAAGAGAAGAAAATGATTGGCGAGAAACCTATGATAATGATGTTTGTGAACGAGACTGAAGCTGATGAGGAGAAGGAGTTAGAGGAGGAGAGTGAGAAGGATGTAGATGAGAAGAAAAAAGCTCTTAAGGAGGAGAAAGAGGTAGGGGAGGAGGAGAAGAAGGAGAAGGAGTCGGGGGAAGCGCAGAGAAAGGATGAATCAAAAACCACTAAAGAAGATTCAGCAATGGAAACAGACGAGAAAATTAATGGGGAAGCCAAGGAATCAAAGGAAACTCCTGATAAAAGTAAAATAGAGTCGGAAGTAAATTCTTTGAAGGAGGCTAAAAAAGAGATACCTACAGAAACCCCCACAGATAAAGAAGAGGAGAAGAAAGAGGATAAAAAGAAACCTACCTTGAAATTGGCCAGTTTTGCTGACATGGCCAATAACAGTGTTGAAAAGAAGGTAGAAACGAACCTGGACATAAATGAATCTGTTGAATATATTAATGAGACTAGGATAGATGCTAGTGGATGCTGTTCTGATTGTCATCTAAAGATTGAGAGCTTGAAGTCTGCTGTAGTGTGGGAAACTATGCAGTTCTGTAATATCACATGTCTGGCTAAATATCAGTCCGGATTATCAAGGTATGAAACGGGGACAAAAGTTAAAAAATACTCCGTCACTTTTAAATATTTTATTACTGCAGTTTTATGTCCTTATGAACAGTTTTATACACAGGGCTTAAGCTAATGTTTATTAAGGGGGAAAGGAATAAATTGGGAATTATATAAGGAGTTTCAGGGGGAAATTTCCTAACGTTTCGGGTTAAAAGATAAGGAGTTCAAACTTCGACATTAATTCCAAAACATTGATGCCTTTTTTCTGAAGGTTGGGTAACAGTACTTTAGCGATTTTTTAGTTTTTTTTTATCCATATTGTTTGTTCAGTTGCTCGAGCTGTAAGAAAACTGTCAGTTCATCATCTCTTGGAAAATACTGTGTAAGGTAGGATCATCTTCTAGCTGATAATAGAATTGGTTGATTTGTTGAGGGCTGATTTGATTGAGGGCTGGTTTGGTTTGGTTTGGTTTGGTTTGGTTTGGTTTGGTTTGGTTTGGTTTGGTTTGAACCTGAATGTTTTCTTAATTCAACTCAATTGATGTGATTGCAACTGATCTAATTTGTTTGCAACTTATTTTATTTGAGTGCATTTGATTTGAGTTAAAATTGATTTGATATGTTTGCAATTGAAATGATTGGAATTTAACATTTTTGATAATATTGTAAATCATCTGATTTGATCGCAATTAACTTGATATGATTGCAATAGATCTATTTGAAATTAATTTTATTGAAATTGAATGCTATGAATGTAATTTTTTTTCATTTGATTGCAAATGACTTAATATGATTGCAATTAATTCTATTTTATTGGATCTGAGCTGATTTAAATTGATTTGATAGAAATTGAATTATTTTAATGCAATTAATTTGACTTGATTGATTGCATTTAATAATATTTTATTGCATCTGATTGCAATTAATTAAATCGATCAAATATATTAAATGTTTAGGTTTGGATCTGAATATATTTAATGTCTAGGTTTGGATCTGAAAATATTTAATGTCTAGGTTTGGGTCTGATATAAAACAGTTCTGCTCTAATATGTGTTTGGAGGATTATAAGAAAGGACTCAAAGTCTGCTCGTACTGTCAAAAAGATATCTCAGGTAATTTAAACCTAGATAAATAAGAGATTTTTGTAATCGGAAATCTAANGCCAACGCTTTCAAAGCTGGGAGCTTTTGTATTGTGGATATCGAGATCAATGCTTGATCTTGATCTTTCGCTAATCTTTATTAATCACTCTTTATTTGTTATCCTGCATGGTAATCGTTATGATCAGCTGAAGAAATGATAAAGTGGGTTTTTATATATCCTCAAATTAAAAGTGCCAACAGAAAATATCGATATCATTTTTGGAGGGCAGGTGGCAACTATGTTTAAGGGATCGGGATTATGAGTATCTAACAGAAAAGTTCTCAGCTCTGAGCTCACTAATTGATGCAAGATGAAAACCATAGAAATTAAGAAAACGGATTGTACACACAATCACTGATCCCAAACCTATATTTGTTTATTTAGTTCAGGTTTCGTCCTCTCTAATTAGGTCTGCATGAAACTTTACGCTTTTATTTGCAAGGAACTGATAATCTCAAGGGACCCTCCCTGCATAGATGGCAATACCTTATTCACAACGGTACCATTTAAAAAGACTTAAAAGAATTATCAGAATTAAACACTTAAGCCTAGAAAAACGACATTATCTTCCATATTAATGATCAGATGAAAGTTTCAAGGTTACCGTTGTGGATCGGGTATTGCCATCTTTGTAATTACGGTTTTTAGAGTTCTTTTCAGCTAGATATTTCTGTTACAGCTTAATTTAATTTTTGTTTTAGTGAAAAATACTTACTCTTCGAAAAATATTATTTGGCTCTGTTTCTATTACGTAGGCTGGATATAGTTTTCAAAAAATGTTATTAATTAATCAGAAATGAGTGAATTTTTTGTGACAGGTGGTGAAGGGTTTCTGGCTCCTATAGGGAATAAGGGACAGTTCAAGGATTTCTGTGAAGCCAACTGTCTCAAAAAGTAAGTTTTTTTGGGTCTTGTTATATGATTTTCACTCTCTTCCAGGGGTGAATATAATTCCAATTTTTGTATTCTTCCCTCATTCCTTAAATTTTTTTTGATTTCCTTCCCCAAATTGGATAACTAAAAAGACGTAATTTTTAATTGCAGTGCATAATAATCCTTAAAAGGATGCATTTTAAAAAGCATAAATGGCGCCGCAGGGAAATTTTTTATAAACTTTAAGTATGGTGGCAATGGCAAAATTAAGTCGGGATTGATAATTTGTCAGTCCAGGAGCAAATTGTTTCTTGGAATTCATTATCCATCATTTTTCTTGGAGTTAGAATTTGTAAATTTTTTAGTTGTTTTGACTATTTGGAAAATTATTGAGTAATGAATTTTTTTTTTATCATATTTGAAGTTTTAACACGTTTTTTGATGCTGCATTATAACTATTGGGGAAAATTATTTGTGAAAAACTCTCTGATTTTATGTAAAGTGAAATTTGTTGGTAGGTTTGATTATTTGGAAAAGTTATTGAGTAATGAGTATACTTCTATCATATTTGCTATGAAGTCGTGGGTGGAGCAGCGAATGTTTAACACGTTTTTTATGCTGCATTATAAATATTGGGGGAAATTATTTATGAAAAGCTCTCTGATTTTAGATAAAGTTATGTATTTATGTAGAGGTAAAGAGCTCCAGCCCTTCCCTTCCATATATTTACACTTCACTTCTTTTTTTGCCAACCTTCCATCGATTCTTTACCTTCCCCTTCCCTTTGTTCCCCTTCCCAAAATGTTTGTCTATATCCTATAAATGTCTTAACGGCTGAACCGATCGGGCCCAAATGGAAAATTTGTGTGCGGTTATAAGTGAAAAATGTAAATTTTATTATTACAGAAATCTATTCATGTTTACGGTAAAATCCGTATAATTAAATTTTACTAATGTATATTTACTGTTAGGTATGAGGTGATGAACAACATCAAGGAGCAGGAGAAGGAGGTCATCCCCTGCTCAGTCTGTCAGGAAGTCAAGCTCATTGAGAGAGAGATCATTAGGTACAAACAGAACATCAGCACACATTTTATAATCAATACAGGGGTCTATATGTTCTTGAAAATCTCCCCCCCCCCTTTCAAAAGGTCCTTTTTCTTCAGTATATTGGAACTAAAGGCTAGAGATTTGAACTCTTTCTGTGGCGAATTTTTGGATAAATCCTGCAGTAAGAAACCAGATCTGGAGTACAGAGTCAACAAGCTCGCAGCCTCTGGTGTCCCTACTGAAAAGTCTACGTATTAATGTAAAAAAAGGTTTGATATGAAGTCGTTTAAAAGAAAAATCTATAAAAAGTGTTTTCTCTATAAAGTAAGAAGAATATTTTAGCAATTGTCTAAAGAAGTATTTGACTCTAGTATTTTAAAGATTTTTCGTTTTTAAGATTCTTCTTCTCCTCAGATTCTTTACTTACGAAATTATTTTATTACACAAGGATCCAAAACCATAATATTTTGTTAATAACCAACCATTGGATTGGTTTTTGAACTGATATTTTTAGAGTTTTTTTTAAAAGTTTTGGTTTGCAAATCTTAATTTTCTCTAATTTTTAGGAAACATTTTGATCTGTCAATTGAACCCGTGAGCTGTATTTACTACGATGGTATGATGAAAACTTACTGCAGTAAAGCCTGTCAGAACGTGTCTGTTATGATGAACAGGAAGATTATCCCCTGCGCCAACTGTAAGGTATCAATTATTTCATTACTTTAAAGGACTGTCTAATGTCTATTAATTCTTGAAGTTAGAATTTCTTAAAGGGTGTGTTCGCGAAAATGAAAGGGGGTATAGGCTTAATGCGATAAAAAAGCGCTTTTGATCGCTTCTAATCTTACTTCTATCTGCGGCGTCTATAAGGAGAAAATTGTTAAAAACGACTAATACCGAAGAACGTAGTATCCATACAAATTCAAAAAGATGCAACATTTGACTTAGACCATAAAAAAATCTATTTAATTTCAAACAAATTATTCAGATATTACACCCTATGGTCATCGATTATCTTTCGCCACATTTGTATATAGTTGATTTTCATAATATGTTTTGATTTTATTTTTTAAAATAACATTTAGCTTCTAACTTGTTTTCGAACATTCCTGGATAATATGAAAATGTCGTCTTCATTACCAAAAACCCTCGAAACAGAATAAATGTTATTATAAGTAATTCTCAGATCATAACAATTAAAACATATTATGAAAAATCAACTATATACAAATGTGGCGAAATCTAATCGATGACCATAGGGTGTAATATCTGAATGATTTTTTGAAATTAAATAAATTTTTTACGGTCTAAGTCGTATGTTGCATCTTTCTGAATTTGAATGGATACTACGTTCTTTGGTATTAGTCGTTTATTAACAATTTTCTCCTTATAGACGAAACAGATAGAAGTAAGATTAGAAGCGATCAAAAGCGCTTTTTTATCGCAATAAGCCTTTACCCCCTTTCAATTTTCGCGAACACTCCCTTTAAGATCAAAATAAACGAAATTAATAACAAAATTTTAATTTATAAGGTCATCACATTCTGTTTTATTTTTTTTTCTACACAGCCTAAAGTTAATTTTCAAAGAGAAAGCATTCTATTTCAAGCGATCAAAAGCGACTAAACTCAAACTCGTGGTTTCGTGATTTATCATTGGCCGAGAGAAGAGTTTATTCTTGCTTTTAGAAACTGAAAAACAGGGCTACCCACAACGGATGAAACTTCAGAGACGACTGTACGAAATTTAAGCTCTGTTTCCTTACATTTATGGTTCTCTGCAACTGCAATCTTATTTCGTTCTATGTCAGATCAATAAGTAAGCCATTAAACGACCATATTTAAGTCATAAGACTTTGTTTAACCTCGGAATCATCGTATTTAAAAAGTTTCAGGTCGTCTTAACAGTCTCATCCTTGGTGGGTAACTATTTTTCATTGAGAAATAAACTTCTTTATTCGTTGTAGAACATATTTACTTCTCGCCCAATATTTTGGTTTCAGCTCTGAAAGCTCTTACGCACATCTAGTTATATTTTAGGTTAAAAAGTACAATTTCGACATGATAGAGATGTTTGAGAGCGGACATGATAAGCCTGCGAACCTATACTGTTCCCTACACTGTAGAGCACTACTCACTGGTACTCAGGGACAAAGAATACCACAGACATCAACTTCAGGTGACATAACAAGAAATTTAAGTGATTTGCGATATTTTAAGCGACCTTCCATTTCATAGGCGGACATAACATATCTTCGTTTTCTAGCTTGATTTATTATTTTCTTCTTCATTGTTCGGAAGCAGAGAGTCGTGTTGTAAATTGTTTTTATTTAGAGGAGAAAATGTAAAAATTCTCTACGATTGTAGTTATAACGAAAGTTCAAAAGTTACCATTGTGAATCGTTGATAAAACTTAGAAGATACCGTCTCCATTAAAACTTAAAATTTCCCTCTGATAAACAAATTGGCATCTTGAAATCCAAACAAATATTCTAAATTTAATCTGATTTAATTTCTAATACAAAAAGTAACAAAAAGTAACAAAAAGTTTGAAGAATATTTTTCAGTAAGTAACGGGTACTCACTTACTCCAGTCATATCTGCAGTATCAAGTCTCGCCCCAGGAAAATAATCTAGAAATAAACAAATGTTAATTTTAAATCGCATAAAAGTAAAATATATGTAAATTATATATATTAAATCAAATTCAGTGTCCAGTGTTCACGCATCTCATAGTTAAAACAGTATTCTGTTATGGGCTCTTTTCCTAAGAGAAAAAAAGGAAAAACTATCGTTTTAACACGTTTTTTTGCATATATTTTCTCTCAAAAATTTTTATATTGTGTAAGAATTCAGCAAATGTTACGAATTAACAATTTTGAAATTTGTAACATTTCTCAAACTTTTGTGGAACCTTTTAAACTCTCAAAACCCTTTTAGAAACTCTCAAAACCCTTTTAAAAACTCTCAAAAACCTCTCATAAACACACCAACTCGTAAATTACTTCACTTTCTTGAAAGTGTGTCCTTCATTTTGTGAGAAATGCGGAACACTTTTTACCTGACCTGGAAAAACCGAATGAATTTTTGATTGAAAAGATATCCGCCTTTTTTCTCAAAAATATGGACTCCTATAAAAAGCATATTTAAAATTTCTGAATCCATGTGTCAACAATTTTATTATCTAAAATGTTTGCATATCTCAAGATTATATGGCTACAGTAGGAGGAATAGGGGGTCCTTCTACCCTTCCCGTTCTTCCAACTGAACCTATTCCTCAAACTCAGCTCCAACCACAGATACAGGTAGTACCCAGTACCATGGCAATTTTTGTCGCTTCATCTCCACTTGGAACATGATAGAGTATAAAAGCCTGATTGAATTTTTACTATAAAATTTGTTAAAAAGCCTCAAAACAGTTTCGAAGTTTAAGAGCATTATTCAGGAGTATATATATATTTTTTAAATCATTCCCCTTTTTAGTTCACCATAGTTTAGGTTTTTTTTCTCTGAATTGGGTAAAAAGTATTAAAAATAAGGAAAAATGCCGTTTTATGTCCTTTTTCTACCCCCCACAAAAAAAAAATAAAATCATCGTTATTTCTTATGATTTTGTAAAATTCTTCCTTTGCAGAATTGTGAAAAGGGGTTCAAGGACTTAGGAAATGATAATCAAAATTTTAATAGATTCAGACCCAGACTGTTCGTGAGGTGGTGAAAGAAACTCAAGTTCTTCCTCCTGAGGTAACTTATTTTGGCCTTTACGCTTGCACTCTTGTAAAATATTAAAGTTAAATATCGAATTTACTCCCAAGATGGAAATGTGTTGCATAAAAGTGTTAAAAAGTTTAATTTATCTTATTAACTACAGAAAAAGTAACCAGTTTTTATTAATTAAATGTGACCTAATAGCGATCTCTCTTATGAATCTTAAGGAAATTGTTTTTAAACTTCAGACAAAAATAGTATACACTGGGTTAGAGCCTTTTTTCATATGACACTGTCTGATTTACAAGCGTACCCTTATATCCTTTGTCTGATTACCTACGATTTTTCCCATTGTAAAGTACAGTGCTACTCACTAAGGATGGGACTGTAAAGACGACCGGAACCTTTAAAACATGGCTATTTATTTTCTTATGCCTTAAATATTATATTTTAATGGCTTATTCAGTGATTTGATAAAGATAGAAACTAGTTTCATGAAATCATGAATTTAAGAGAAACGGGCATCATAAATTCCAAACAGTCGTCTCTGAAGTCTCATCCTTGTGGGTAACCCTGTAGTGTATATGCACATTTGTTAAATAATGTGTCAGCCTGGATGGATTTCAGGCCACATGTAGATGCGCCCTGAGGGCCTGGGGGTTTTATGTTGAGTCCCCTTTCAGATTATTATTATTAATATTTTTATTAATAAACTTAACTTATAAAATATATGATTGATTGATTGATTGATTGATTGATTGATTGATTGATTGACTTTTAGGTTCCTGAATGGAAGAACAAGGGGATGCAGACCAAACCTTTTATGTTAACCAAGGAAACCAGATAAAAGTTTTCATTTCCAAAAAACATTTTCATCTATTCCGTGTTGATTTTTGTTGATTTTTTGTTGATTTTTTGTTGATTATGTTTCCAAACTCGGATTTCACAATAATTTGGCATACTTTCTTTAAATTAACGATATAGAAAAAATGCTGAATAAAGCGCAAAGTCATTAAAAATATCAAAATTGAGAATTCAAAACTTACTTCAATCTTGTTTGGCGTAGGGCGTAAGCTGTAGACAGAGTTCCTATTCTAAATCTACTCAAACTGAAACTCCTCCTCAACCAATCATTGTTCCAATTCCTGTTCCCATTCATATTCCTACTCCCTGCAAGATGTATAATGTTCCATTCCCCGTTCCTGTTCCCATTCCCTTACCTTTCCCAGTTCCAGTTTTCATTCCAACAACAAGGTATTTTTTCAATAATTCTTCCTATTTTTGCTTCATTTCTTTTTTAAAAGAACAGAATTTTTTTCATTAAATTAATTACATTGATTTAGATTATGGATGGGTCAACTGGAATAAATAGAATTTTCTAGAATTTTGAAGTTAAATAATTTTTGTTGTTCAGGAACACAATGAAAGGAATTCTCAAGCAAATTAAGAAAATTCAAAATAAGGTAATTATTAATTAATCATAGTTAGTTGTTGGTTGTCTTATGTAAATTTCTAACCAAAGTGTACATTGTAATGTACACACACGTCATACAACTAAAAGAGACATCATTCACATGATCCTGAAGCTCTCCCACAAAAAGCGTTCAGTATGTTGCCAATTACTCCTTTTACACTAAAGCTTGAATTAAATGCTTTATTGTCATTTAATGTACATGGCAAGTGCATGCAGCAGACATGTATTCGTGAGCTATTGATTAAGTATCAAAGGCTAAGACGATGCAACACTCTAAAGTTGACCCAGTCTTCAAAATTATTCAACAATTTAGTATTCATAGCAGTCTGGATTGTTTGTTTGTTTGATAAATACAATTGCAGATTGTTTGATTGATTGATTGAAAAAATGATATTTTAAGATACCTGCGGATCCGTATGAAGCTGAACTATTGGCCCTGGCTGGTGATATTGCTGCGCAGGACAAGGATTCCAGTGATAGTAATTCAGATGGTAACTCGTTCATATACTTATCCTTGCTGACATAGTCAGTGCTAGATTTATTACTCAACATTATTTATCAAACAAGTGAATTTTGGGTTTAAATGATCGATCATACTTTTACCCAAATATTTACTTATTTTCCCCAAAAAAATCATCTCTTTTTCCTTATTCAGCGAATAAATCCTGAACACAAAATACCTATCTTCTGTGGGAGTAAAAATGACATTCAATGTTTTAGAAAATTTTTAACCCTGGAAAGTTAAAATTTTTCGCCCTCAAATATTATTAAATAGATGCTTTCTTGCCAATCATGTTATTCTTATTCAGATTTAACTCTTTATCTTTATCTTTTAAATAAAAATTAGTGGAATAAAATTGCGTCCCAAAAAGTAAATTTTAGTTCAATGATATCTAGGATATGAGATAGATACTGATTTGATGTTTTTTAGCTGAAGATCTTGAAGCTGATGATTGCAGTGGTCTGGAGAAGGTTCAGAATATGGTTCCACTTCCTGATCTTGAAAACGAGATGGCTCCTGAGAGAATAGTCCCAAAACCTTTACCCAGCTCCACACCTGAACCCCCGGGGGTAATATATTATTCTTTGTCTTTTTTTACATTTTTTTTTTGCATTAAATTTATTTTTCATTTCTATATTTCTACATTTCACCTTCTATTAATCACTCATCCTAAATTTATTCATCATTTATAACCTCATCCATTTTCTTCTTTATTTTTTTCTTCTCTTTTTTCTTTTAATAGTTTTTTTTTTTTATTTTCTCCTTATAAATTTTTTCTTCTTTCTTTCTCATAATTATTTTTTTTCATTTTCAGTTCATTCTTTCTTTTATTCCTCCTTTCAACATCATTTCTTTTGACATTGTTACTTTCCTTTCATTACTGGTTGGTTGGTTGGTTGGTTTGACGATTAATGAATTATATTCAGGCCAGACAGTTCCCTGCATATAATCAGTATCCGACACATAACAAGAGAAGAGCCAGCCAAAGAGGTAACTAAAACTAGCTCAAAATAAAAAAATAATTAACTAAATATAACACGTGACAGAATGCAAATATGAATGTTTGTTAGAGGGATGAAAACGTATTTTCAGGCGATGATTCAATTCTAGAATGGCATGTCCGATTAAAACCTATACCTGATCAATAATAACTGAGATATTCATGTTTTTTCTGATTAAAATTTAATTATTTTTTTGTGGTTTCTTCATCAAAGTTAATTTCGAATTTATGGTGCAGAAAGGAGGAACCTGTCAAATTTTAGAACTTTTCTAAAAAACTAAAAAAAAAAAGATATTGTAGCGGATCTATTTTCTCCTTAAATCCGAACTAAGAATCCTTGAATGAAAAGGAGGAATAGATATATGCTGGTGGAAATCAGGAGTTCTCCAACCTTCATCGGATCAACACGTGTCCTCCTGCATAATTGTTTATTACCTTCACATATATTGCTAAAAAATGTTAGACCTGTCTTAACTATCTTACTTTTAAAATATCTTGTAGTTGATTGATCAGATATTTAGGTATAAAGATTACGTTATAAATAGGAAATGCCCCTTTAAAAATAAAGGGTACCTGAAAGGGACTGTAAGCCTAATGTTAAAGTGACCCTCAATTCGAAGATAGCGGTACCCTTGAAACCGTGATCTGATAAATAATGTGGAAAATATTGTAGCTTTACAAACTCTGAAAATACCCAAAAATTCTAACATTAATATTGATATTTAATGCATACTTGACCAGACAAAGCTTTTTTAAGGGTACCTTGGTAAATCGAGAATTGTCATCTTTGTTAGAAAGGTCTTATGAAATTAAAGTAAACTATTTCAGATTCTGATGCCGATGATCAAGAGTCCGAGGAAGATTGGAAACCACAATCTATCTGGGACCAGAGACCACCAACCAGACAGGTAGTAACCACAATCTATCTGGGACCAGAGACCACCAACCCGACAGGTAGAAACCACAATCTATCTGGGACCAGAGACCACCAACCAGACAGGTAGAAACCACAATCTATCTGGGACCAGAGACCACCAACAAGACAGGTAGAAACCACAATCTATTTGGGACCAGAGACCACCAACCAGACAGGTAGTAACCACAATCTATCTGTGACCAGAGACCACCAACCAGACAGGTAGAAACCACAATCTATCTGGGACCAGAGACCACCAACCAGACAGGTAGAAACCACAATCTTATTGGGACCAGAGACCACCAACCAGACAGGTAGTAACCACAATCTAACTGGGACCAGAGACCACCAACCAGACAGGTAGAAACCACAATCTAACTGGGACCAGAGACCACCAACCAGACAGGAAGTAATCACAATCCATCTGGGACCAGAGACGAGGCTTGATAGATTTTCGCACATTGCTTTGAAATTAACACTGGGTTTGCAGAACTTATGCAGTTTCTTTAGATTTGCTTTATTTGATGGCGAGATATATCCTCTTGAGCCGATTTCAAAAGGGTGAACAGACACACCCCTAGTTGTTATATCTGTGATAAAATGTTCATACTTGTTCATATTTTGAGCGTTGGCATTTTTGATAGTTGTTTCCAATGGGACAGAAAGCTCAAAAATATCCATCTTTTCCTCCATACGATAATAAAAAAAATTCTTGGCACTTCAAATGTTGAGGTCAATTAAACTTTTTATGACTATATAGCCTAGTATAGAATATGTTTTAAATATATAAATTTATTTTTTCCAGCGACAGCCACAAAGACGACAGCGGGGAAGAAATACACAGCAAAATAAACGAGCGAGGGTAGATACAGTAAGGTATATTTTGTCTTAAAACTGTAATTTTATAGAAATCCTGTATAAAAATTGGAAATGGAAAAAAACTGGAAGGATAAAAAATGATGAAAACTAGCCAAATCTGAGCCTTGTCTACCCAGACACCGGCCTTGTATTCAACACTCTGGCGAGAAGCACCCTTTCTGATTATAAAGGAACTGTTAACTTTTATATGTAATTCTTATTAAATACAAAAAAATGAAATGGTCAGCCATCGTTCCGTAGAAGTCATAGTTAAGCTCTCTTGAGACCGCACCACCATTACGGTTGGAAGCGTGTCACTGGCACATGTTTTAAGTTTTATGATTTGTTTTCACTCTTAAAAGAAAAATACATAAATTATAAATATAGTGAGCAGTCCTTTAAAAAAAAAAACAAAAAAAATCATCATTTCTTAAAATCTGAACTTCGAATATGCTCTTGATGCTGAATATATTGTTTAGAGAGCAGCAGGCAGCAGCCGTGATAGCGCAGCAGCCTAAAGAGCGTCCTGATGTCAACCACCATCTCAAGTTTACCTACGGGGTCAGTTAAACTTCAACATTTATGTCAAACTCATCGCATTTTCAGCTGGCGCTTTATTAAACGGCATCTAAATGTTCTTGTTTATTAAAGATTTAAAACGGCATCTAAATGAAGCAGATATTCTTGTTTTTATGTAATGTAATGTGAAAAAACGTTTTGTGGGGAAACATTTCGTGCAGGAAACCTATTGTCGGGAAACGTTTTGTAAGTACTCCCATGTAAAGCCTCAAAAATGTTGACCCGATTCTTAACTCGGTGATATTTATAAATATCGAATTGTTTTCCAAGAAGAACTAATTCTAAAATAAATCTCAACGTATTATCTTATCCAAGGTGAATGCGTGGAAGCACTGGGTAGTTGGTAAAAACGCCGAGTTAGAGAAACAACGTGCACAGGTAAGAATTTCAAAAACCTATGTCCAAAATTGTCTATTTAAAAAATATAATATAAAGTTTGAAATAAGTTCATTCGTTTTCTTGTTTTTAAAGATAATGAATGCTTGGAAATGAAATGTTGGAAATAAATATTATTTAACTCATTCATTAACTAACATTTTTTAATGTGTCCTGTGTTTCAAAATGGAATTGAACATTCATACCTTTTAATCTATTGAAGAGTTATATAAAATAGGGTCAATATTTGCTTGCTGTGATTTCTCACATCAAAGAGAATTTAGTATTTAGAAGTTCTATAAATTATTCTGTATTTCCAAGATAACCTTTCCTTTAAACATCTGAATTGGATGTAGCAGGTATCGGTTTCCGATATTTAGAACTACACTTTGCAGTTCAAGATTAAATTAATTTAAACACCGCTGTAAAATTAAGGTTTCTTAATGTTACAATTTGGACTGGGAAAAATTAAATTATTATTTAAATAATAAAGAATAAAGTAGAAGAAAAAATTCGCAGTTTTTTCTTTTTCGAAACCTTTTGAAGGTTAATTCTTTATTTGACTCCCATTTGTTGACATCAGATTCTGAATTTTTAACGTTAATTGTCAATAAAAAACAAGACATTCGAATATATATGTTCCCTCTGGCCGGCCAAACGACTGGTCCGAATGGGCTGACATTTGTTGTGGACACTCATAGGCTAAAAAATACATTTTGTTACAAAATTTTTTTTTTATTCCATGGGCAACGCCGGTCACTTCAGCTAGTTCTCAATATTTCATTATTTCTAATTTTGTTTAGGGGAAGTATCAGAAATCATTTGAGACAGATATCCTGAAATTGAGAGCTGATGAATTAAATTTTACGCTGTGTATGTTCGTAAAAGAGGTAAAATTTCATCCAGCCAAAGTGTGATCTGTAACACTGGAATTGGAAGACGACATTTAAACAATCTTGTACATTTAGTTTCGCCAGTAGCTGGCAAAAAATTTTGCAAATGTATGACTTACACTGAAGTATTGAACTTGTTACTTAAGCAGTATGACTTTTTACAGTGCTTTTATTTTGATCCGGATCCGGATCCAAGTTAGGAACGTTTGCTTTAAAGTAACGCATTTTTTTCTGAAACTTGGTAAACCATTTAAAAATAAAGTCATTTGATTAACCTCTCTTTTTTCAACAGATAAGATTCGGGTTTAGGAGAGCAAACATGTGGTTACAGTTTTTGGTTGATATTTTTGTATCCAGATTCCTGTATTTTTGCGGAATCGGATCCAGGAAGCCAAAGTTGCAAAAATATTGCGGATCAAAATGATCCAGATCCGGATCTTGAGCACTTTTTCAGAATCTTTTTCTTAAAATGAAATAAATTGGTAAGTAGTATAAAGGCCATTCAGTTTTTATTTAATTTTTCTTTTAAACACATATTTCTTTAAAACGACTTTCATAGATCTTTTGCTTTAAAAAGATGTTTTATTTACCATTAAAAATTGATGTTATTTCATTTGAAGGTCAAGAAACCCAATGGAGATTCCTATGCTGCGGACAGTATACTCTACTTAGTACTAGGAATACAGGTTAGGAAAAAACAAAGTAACCGCCCCCCCCCCCCCAAAAAA